CTAGCCTCTGCTTCGTCACAGCTCGCCTGCAGAGCCTTCACCTCTTTCTCCAGCTGGTTCAATCGGCTTTGCTTCTCTCTTTTCTCATCCCCGCCAAAACACCAGTACCAGTTCCCGCTTCCGATCTTCTCCACCCGGATCTTTCCCTCGTCCGTCAGATTCTGGATATATTCCTTGACCTGCATGCCATTGATCGACGCAACCGAGGGAAGCACCTTCTCGAGGTCTTTGAGCGTGTGGCACGTGCGTGTGGACCGGAGATGGGCGACTATCAACTCTTCCTTGGCGCTTTTAGAGAGTTTTGGTGGCTGAGACACGATTGTTAGCATCAAGTAAATGTAGATACGTAGTTTTTCTTCTTTAATTGCGTATGCATCAGTTTTGGATGATCAGGGAAAGTGACAGTCGGGGAGCAAACCATGCTGGACGGCGGATGTTGATGTTCGTCAAGCGATGCTATATGTAGTTGTTGAGCCGGTCTAAGGGCCTAGGAAGGCGTTCGATGGAGGCAGAGATGAAGACTGGTATCTTTCAGAGATGGATTAGATGGAGGAATGATGAACTGCTCTGAGTGGTGATGGGTTCGAAAAACTCGTTGTCAATGCCACAAGAGGGGACTGGAGTACTGCGATGCCAGATCGAGTCACACACACCGTGTCGTTCTTCGACTCACATGTCTACAGTGCAGATTGGTCTGCAATGATGTAATGGGGATTCAAATTGCTATTACAGATAATAAACATTTAAGGCAGTCCTCCGAGGCTCGAAAACCTTCAGCAGCAACTTGCTGAAACAGTAAGATCGAAGCTTCACCTGCGACATTCATTGTAGTTGCGAGCTCTTAAAATGCCCAGTTTCTCTAATGCAGCCAATTGATACGTTCAATACCGTTGCTCCCGTTCATTGGTACCCAGACTAGGTTTCTCTGCCTCTCAGCTGTCTTTGAATATAGTGTTACCGATGCGCCATAACAGACAGGCTTAACCATGAAGACGAATCACTGGCCGTGATCCAGGCCCCCAAAAAGCGTCGACAGGATGCCCCTCGCAAGAATTGAGTCCGAGTTTACATCCTCTCATCTGCTTCTGTATCAAAATCGGTAGTCGACGCCCTCCGGGTCAGCTTGCGCTTCTTCGACCGCCGCTTTCTAACAACGCTATCCAGATCATCGCCAGAGCTTGCCAAAATCGTACTCTGGCTGGTATTTGCCCGTTTCCGGCCCACGCGGCGACTTCCGAGTCTCGACGATAGGTGATCATCATCCGTCGAGAGTTCCTCCCCTTCGACCAGAACCAAGTCACCGGTTTCACCCAGAGCCTCTCGTGCCATTTCCTCCATCAGTATTCCCATGGCTATCAGAGCTGTCTCGTCCATACTTTGATAGTCATCTTGACCATGATCGATCGTTGCATGATCGTAGAAATCAGCCGTGTAGGCGTGAATTGCTTCTAGCAGCTCAGAGCTCGGAAGAGGGCGGTCAGCAGGTAAGGACTCGTTTGCGAAGTAGAAATCGTTTTCTTCGTATCGTATTGGCGCATTCTGGCGACGGAAGAGTACCTCCTCGGGGCGAACGGGACGAGCGCTGGAGGATGCTGTGTCGCGGTGTTTCGATGCATATGAGACCGAGGGGAGAAATCCATGTGCATTCACACGACCTGTACATGTCAGGAAGCTCTTGAGAAAGCGGAACAGCTCTACCAACCAGCTACAGCATCGTAGACAGTCGCTTGGCGTTTTTGTCGCCTGAGCAAAGGCTCGTCTTGAATGTCGCGCGCGCCATTGTCCTGGTCCGGAGGCTGGACGAAGGAATTCTGGCTCAGAGCAAGGGATTTGCCGTAGGACATAGTCCTGTCGTGTTGAGGGTCACCCGTGGGAGAGCATTGAGGGAAATCTCCAGTCAGCCTCCAACCTAGCGAGTCAAATAGTCTGATACAAGCGATGTCTGCAGGTTACATTTTATCTTGGCTTCTTGCGATGAGCCCGAAAATACAAGCTCCGGTGCAACCTTTCTCCGCCCCCCGCGTTGCGATAAGAAGCGGCGATCTGGATTCTGCATGATTGGAAGCATTGAAGGGAGATGATCGTGGGCACCGCCTTGACGTAGCAGAGGATTTTACCTTGTTCAATCCCTGATGAATGAATTCGTATCTCCTAAACAGGGCCCTTGGGTCCATCACTCCGCACTCCTTTCATGTGTCACAAACTACCCGACTTGTTCACCACCTTGAGCCAGCTCCTCGCATTCGATTCTCAAGCCTGAGGGACATACCTGGAGGCCAATCCGAATATGATTCTGCGTTGCTTGATGTAAACCCGGGCTACGAACCCGATGCTGTTGCTCATAGGGCTGGCGTGAATGTACTCGCCATTGATCAAAATGATTCACGATTGTATGTACTCTTTTCAAACAGTTCCGACTCGATGCTAATAATTGAATAGTATGGTTTCCGGTGGCGCAGACCCATCAATTCATTTCTGGGATCTGGAAACCAGAGGCGCCGAGTTGGATCATATCCACCGGCCTATTGCCTCTATTCACAAGGGATCCCACGAAGACGCCCATACGCATGCGATCACGTCGGTTTCAATATATCCATTTGATCCGACTCCATCTACAATCTTGACTACTGCGCATGATGGCAGCCTCAAGCTCTCTGCCTTGGGGCCTGGCGCCATCACGCCTATGCATACATTCAGGCTTGACTGCACGCCTTACTCTCATTCCATGTCGACGCATCCCGGTTCCACACTTCTCATTGCAGTAGGTACATCAGAGAGAGCAGTCCGCTTGCTCGATTTGCGGTCCGGTCTATCTACCCACGGACTTCCGGGTCATAGCTCTGCGGTCCTCTCAGTTGCATGGGCGCCTCACCGGCCGCATATCCTCGCCTCAGCATCAGCAGACAACCGCGTGATTCTGTTTGACGTTCGAAGGGGCGGTCACAATTCCGCCGTCGCAACCCTTGATATGGATGATGCTGTAGGCCTAGTTCATCCGCAGTGCGCCCCGGCATCCTACCAAAGCCGCGCGCCGTTCTCACCGCACGCCCGCGCACACAATGGTGCTGTGACCGGTGTCCGTTGGACATCAACCGGCACGCACCTCGTCACAGCCGGTCAAGATTCCCGAATCCGAGTCTGGGACGCCTCCACAGGCGCCAATACCCTTGTCCATTTTGGACCCAGGGTCCGGAACGGCGTGTCGTCTCATCTTGCCGAGCGGGCTCCGCTGATTGTGCCCCGTGGACTAATGTCTCCAGGGCAAGAGACACTCCTGTGGGCCAATTTCAACGAACACGACGACCGCGGAGAGATCTTTATGTTCGAACTTCGAGAGGGAACGTTCATCAAACGACTCAAGGTGCCCGGTCTAATGGCTGGTCGGCAGCAAACCCGCGGGCGATCCAATGCCCTCAGCGCTGCCCGGATTAATTCTCTCGTATGGCGCGGGAATGGCGGCTCAGGAGAAGGACTGGAGATGTACTCCGCGCACGGCGACGGGACCATCCGCGCCTGGGTCTCACGGGAGCCTGAGGGCGAGCCCGACGAGGCCGAAGAGGCCGAGCAAGCCGACCGGAAACGGAAACGAGACGTCCTCGACGAAATCTACCGGGGCTTCATCACACCTACGCCAGCATAAACAAGCCAAAACAAAAATGGATTACTCAATCATTTCCCGCATGTATATCAACATATCAGGTCGAAACAGAACCCAACAATGCAAATCACTCCATCCGATTCCGGAAGTCATGCTCCCCAATGAACTCATGCGCATTTCCATCCTCCCGCGCAGACCGATCGAACTTACTCCGGTTCAGGTTCGCATGCTTGATCGTCCGTGCATTTCCGCGCGCACCGGGGTCCATCGCCCCAGGGTTAATCCTCTTCGACTCCCCTGAGACAGGGAACGCGTCGCCAGTCCCGGTGACAACCTCTCCACTTGCACCCATCTCCTTGGTGCTCCGGGGCAGATCGGAGGCGTTGTCGGCGGCAAAAGCCAGCGAGGGCTCCGCGAGGCCGTGGTTGTCGAACTGGCCGCTTTCGCTGCGCTGGTCGGGGCGCGGCACGGAGGGGAGAGTGTTTTGGAGGCCTGCGTCGTTAGGGATGGAGGTACCGTGTTCGGCCATCTCGGTGAGGGAGCCTCCTCTGTGAGCGTCGTCGGCAGACATGGTTGTATTCGTATGTATGTTTGTTTGTTTCAGGGAAAGGTCTTGGATATTGATATACTCAAGGCTTTGAATTGTTCTGACCAAAAACGATGAAGAGCAAGGGAAGCTCTTATAAACTCACTTCTGCTCCACAGTCGAGAGGAGGAAGACGACAATTGATGTCACCGTTTATCCCTCGATTCGGAAATGATGGGACTATGATATCAGAAGCATGAGGTCAACCCAGACGGATCGCTTAGTCATGGCTGTATGATAACAATGTCTAACATTGATTGATATCGGACTGTACTTGAAGTTTCGTAAACTCGGCAAGCATACTGGCGAGAGGGGGGTGGTGGACGTAAGGTACTATTCGGCCACAAGACATAAGTAAGGACCTTGGAGGATGCCAACATCACCTACAGTAAGTACACAAACTGCAGGACATAAAGAAATATTCTTGAACTAGGTTCGAGAAACAAGTATTTACTGTTCAGTATCACATCCTTAGCTTCGTGAGACGCTGACATCACAACCTGGAACCGGCCGCAAGGTACCCAAGAACTTGATCAGAATCAAGTTGACGCTTAGAAGATTACACGCCCAGGTCGGGAGGGAAAGTATCTACAAGATAGGGGCTACACTACAGAGGGAAGGAGGATTCTGAAAGACATCACACCTAGCATTTGCTTGGAGATTATCCGAGAAGAAATGAATACAGACAGAGCGAGTGTAACAGCAAGTGTCAATAATAAAAAAGACAAGATATTAAATACTCAAAGAACGAGCGAATGAGAAATTCAACATGGCAACACATCAGATGTCGTAACCCGTCAACAGCTCGATTACAGCTTACAGCACAAAGGCAAGAACAGCCATGAGACCACACACAGCAGATACGACGCCAGCGGCGGGTGCGATGCGGCCCGCGGCGCCGGTGAACATCTGGTTCTGGCTAGGCGACGCCGAGGATGGCCCGGCGTTGTGCGAGGGCTTGGCGGCCTGGCTAGGCGTCGAGGACGGAGTCGCGTGGTGCGAGGGCTTGACGGCCTGGCTACTTGTGGGGGAAGGCACCTGGTGAGCCTTCGCGTCCACGTCACTGGGACGCTGGCGGTCTGCGGACGTGCAGGAGGACTTGTGGTCGTTGTCCATGTAGACGGGGACCACTGCCCAGGTGGAGGTGTGGCTCACGGTGATGGTGGACGTGATGGCGGTCAGGGGCTCCGCCGAGGTGGGTGCGTGCTTCGGAGCTTCCTTGGGGTCAGCGTGCTGGGGTTGATAAGCCGGAGCGGTAGGCTCAGGTCGATGACCTTCAGGCTTGCGCGTAGGGCAAGGAGTTGTGGCGGCTGGAGGCCGGTCGTGAACAGGGTTAGCAGGACCGCTGTCCTCAGAGTACGCATGAGGGTCTGCATGAGGGTCTCCCTGCGGTGGGTACGATGGAGCAGTGGGCGCAGCATGAGCTTCCGGCTTCGACGAGGTGCAAGGCGTGCGGACAGGCTCTGGCTTCTCGAAGCCAGGATCGTGTTGGCCCTTGGGGGCCTCAGCCTCGTGAGTGGGAGAAACACCAGTTGGCACGGACGCGGCGGGATGTGTAGGCTCATACGTGTGAGTGGGCTCATATGGACCACTTGGCTTAGGCTCATGGATTTGGGAATGCTCAGGCGGCCGGTAGGGGGCAGCGGGCTTAGTGGGCACCGGATCGTCCACGGTCTTGATGATGGTCTCGAGGTAGGTGGATGTGCTGCATGGCTTGCTTGTTGCTGGGTCCACGGCGTAAGGTGGCTCGGGGTTGCCAGCGAAAGGAGGTGGATGTGCCACTGGCTCGGGATTACCAGCGAAAGGAGGTGGAGGCCCAAGTGGCTCGGGATTGCCAGCGAAAGGAGGTGGAGGTCCAAGTGGCTCGGGGTTGCCAGCGTAAGGGGGTGGTGGCCCCTGAGGACGAGGCGGCTGAGGACGAGGGGGCTGAGGACGAGGGGGTGGGGGCGGGGGCGGAGCTTGCACGATCCAGTTCTCTAACTTGACGGAATGGTCATCAGCATAGTGCTCGTTGACCTTTGAGGAGTACTTGTCGTCAAAGTCAAAGTCGGCACTGTTCCCTTCATCATCGCCGCTGGGACCATCGAAAATGACCGGGTCGCCGCCGCGCTTGCGGAAGCCCTTTGGCACGGCTGGCGCGTACACATGGTTCTTGATATCCACAGAATGGTCGTCCTTGTAATGATCTTCGACCTCAGATGAATATTTGTTGTCAAATTCGGTATCGGCGCTGCTGCCACCATCATTGCCGGATGGACCACCAAAGATAGTGCCATCCCCGTCTTTGGAAGCTATTCCCACATCTCCGACCACAGTCGGCTTAGCGTGCTCATGATGGTGAGGACTGCTAATGTGAGAGCCTCCATCGTCACGCTTCCGGAACCCTGGGACCGGAGGAGGATACACGACAGGGGGAGGGTGGACGATATGGTTCTTGATGTCAACAGAGTGGTCGTCCTTGTAGTAGTCCTTGACACTTGACGCGTAGGTGCT